TGTGCCAAAAGATCACAGTAATCTCATGATTTGTTTGTTGGCGGGATACCGCGATGTTGACTAGGCCAAGGCATGTGAATTTTCTTGGGGATTTCACAAAGTTTAACCTACAAAGCAGCGGGGTGGTGTGTGAAAACTGTAATCCATTTGGGCCCGTGTCCGGTTCATCAGGTCATACATCCATTGGACAGAGTCAAGCTTCTGAGGTGCCCAATACACCTCGATACGCAGTCGAGCCGATGACCACTAGCGCAGCCGAGGTGTGAGTGTGTATGTGGTTCGTACACCTATTCTGGGGTGGTTTGGAATCACGGCTTTTAATCAACTCCCCTAGGTGAGCAGCCCGTGGTTCACCGACCCAATAATAGTCCCGGATATTGGCTTTTCGTCCTCTTACTTTAGTGGGAAAACACCTCCGGCAGGAGAAGGTAGTGAGTAGGGCTTCCTCATCAGAAGCTATTTCAGACGCTTGGTCGTACATGAGCGGTGATCAGCCGCAACCCGAAACACCCACCCCCAACGATACGGATAAACCGTGTAAAGGTTCTCTAGGTGTAGCAGATCGCAGATCGTGTTATATTTTCTCTATGTTGGGATTGTTCGAATCGAAATCCGGTCCATGGTGAACTCTAAGGTATTTGTTACTTGTCCTTTCTGATAATCCATGTCCTATTCCTCCCTCGGTAGAAATTCACACTTGAAATGCACGCACTGCACGTGGAATCACACAATCATACGGAATCCGCATTATTGCTGATTAGAACAGTTTCGTTTATCACTGACGCCGCTCACAACTGAACGACACTGTCTTTCTTATCCGAATCTAGCTTACGAAGGAATGCCTACTTTGACATTGAGTGGACTTCTGAACGCGCTCGACGGTGTCACTTCAACGGACGGCCGTATCATCTTCATGACCACAAATTATGTGGATCGGTACGTCCATGAGAAATTGCTTGGCGTGTGAGACGAAATGCTCAAGTACGATTTATTTGTTTGCCAAATTGGCTTCAATGCTGAAGTCACGGTACGAGTCAGATTCAGTATGAAGTATTTGAGCGTGACGATTGTAAGCTGTTTGTCGTAACTATCCGACTGTTACATTGCGTTCGACTTCTGAAAAACTTCGTGTAACCTTCGAATGACAGTGTCGATCAGCAATTTCAGTTCGGTTTTTACAACCAATAACCATGCGCATTTGTGCACCGGTTTTGGTTGCTATCTTTTGGTCACCCATTTGGATAAAAGAGCAGAATGAAGATTGTAATGTTGAGAGCGGAGTCCAAGGGAAGATATAGAATTCATTTTGACTTGGGTTGCAAGAATAATGATTAGATGCACAAGAGCCACTGTTTGCGACACCCAACCATATCGCTGTGTCTCTACCCACCGGTAACTCTCATACCAGGTCCTAGTTTGACCACGCTTGATCTTTTTCCACCCACTGCCTTCCTCGGCTCCAGGGGGACGAACGCTATTACCTCAAACTCTACGCTCAACCTCAGCAGTGCTGGTTCGGTTTCCCCACCAGACTTGTGCAATGCGACGTAGACAGCGGTGTTCGAACACCGACAATCTATTCTTATCCTGTTCCCGTAGTGGGCAAGTCTCTGCACCGTAAAACAGTACTGGCCAAACTGCTGCAGCATATACTCGACCCTTCGCGGACAGCCGTATGTCACGACGGCACCACAGATGTCTCAATTTGGCAAATGCCAACCGAGCCTTCTGTACGCGTGCCGATACTTCATATGTGACGCGTCTGCTAGGTGAGATATAGCGGCTCAAATAGCAACGTTTGTATGATTACCCTACTACTTCCTCAGTTGGAGTGAAGTTGGGGGCTTGGCCAACCCAATCTTGTAGTAACACTTTACACTTCGAAGGTGCAAACCGAATACCAAACATGGTAACACTAACACTCAAAATATTTAGAAAAGCTTGCAACTTACCTGTAGTATCGATCAGCATGAAATAAGGATTGATTGCTGTTTTTTCCCCTACTCGGATTTCACAGTCCGTTTACTAAAGTTTGTCCTTATTTGTCGGTTATTCCGCGTGTGGACCGTAAACCCTTCG